TTCTCTTTTATAGCTCTTTTTACCTTCTAAATCACTACATTATCCCATTTATTGTTTTTGGTGTTTCTTATTTGTCTTTTCCTACTAGAGTATATGCAGTTTAAGAGGGTGGGATTGCATCTGTTTTATTCAGCCATGTATTCCAGGTAATTAGAGCATTTCCAGGTATTAGAGTGGCCATTGAATAAATATTTGTGGAATAAATTAATGAAAAACAGTGTAGTTTTGGTGCAGGAACAGACAAATGATATAAAAGAGAGCCTGTAGAAAGAGGGCTACTCATAGTGATGTTGACAGAGATGTGACATTAGAAATGAGTGAAAAAAAAAGAACATTTAATAATTTATTTGAGATATTTGATTATCACATAGAAAAAAACCTGAATCCCAACTCACACCCTATGCAAAAAATTATTTCCAAATGGATTAGCAATCTAAAATGAAGGGCAAAAATTTAAAGCTTCTGAAAATATAGCATACCATCTTTATAAGTTTTACATATGGAAAGAGTTCTTCTGTAAGATACAAAAACACATGTTGTAAAAAGGATATTTTATGGCATTTGGAAAAGACAGAAAAGTTGTATTTGTATCATTTTATATTTATATATGTATTATAAAGAAAAAGACAGAGACATTTAACCACATTAGGACATCTGTATGACAATAGACATCATAAATGAAAGTAAAAAAAGCAAATCAGACATGAAACGATACCTGTAAACATTTAATTGGCCAAAAAAAATCTGTATTCACAATATCTAAAATTTGTAACAAATTAGCAAGAAAAAATATAACAACCTAGTAGGAAAATGGGCAAAAGCAGTTTTCTTTTTTTTTCTTTTCTTTTTTTTTTTTTTTGAGAGATTTTTGCTATAGAGTGCATGCGCTCGTCCGAGAGACCGAAAGACTGAAAGACAGAAAATGAGAAATCACCTTCTGGGGGGATGGCCATGCCGCAATCCCGTCTCCTCGTGTGCCTTCTTTGGGAAGAGACAGAGAGAGAAAGTGAGAGAGAGAGAGAGAGAGAGAGAGAGAGAGAGAATTACTCCCGGGAGAATGGCCATGCATCAATCCCTTATCTATTCTCCTCTTGGGATTTTGGGCATGCATATGCACATGCACTCTTCACATTTTCCAAGCCAAAGGGTCTTTTTTTTTTTTTTTTTTCCCAGAGGGTCTTGAACTGTGCAGTCAGCCATATGGGATCCAGCCTCAATCACCATGCCACCTAACTGACTCAGTGTGGCATGTAATTCAGTGGACTCTTGCTCTATTTCCTGATGGAAGTGTACTCGGACTAGGGCCGATAACCCTATGGGACCAAGAGTTGTAGAGACGGAGTACAAAGCCCACTGATGAGTCATTGGGTGACAGAAAATGGGGTCAGTTCAGTTTCTAGCCCTTGCTTCCCAAACCACGTAGATTCTTTTGAGGGCCGTGGTACACCAGTTATCTCTGGAATCTTTGATTCAATGCATATCCATTTCCTGAAGGATGGCACCACTCTCCCAGAGTATTGTCTCTAAATTGGCCCTGCAACCCAGGGCCATTCCAAAGCTTTTGCAGGATGGCAGCTTCTGGCTAATGTGCATTATAGGAAAGAGGTGGAAGCGATGGTCATGGGCCTGATGCTGCATCTTCTGTGCTGTCACTGATCTGAAGCAATGTCACACCAAGCAGTAGCTCTCTGAGACCCTGAAGACTGGAAATTCAAACCCATCTCAGAAAGACATGTCTATTACTGTGGGAACATATCACTGGCCATCTCAGCATGGAAGGGGCCCAGTGATACTTTCTGGCCACCTCGAGGCTGGTTGGTGTCCTTGAGAAATGTTGCTATGTAAGGCTATGGTGACAGTCTCTGTTACTAGCAAGTTGGGCATTTAGTGGTGGCCATGACTAGATGAGACTTGGTGAGTGGGAGTCCAAGCTGTTGGGCCTGTGTAGCCACTTTGTTCCTGTGTCCCTCATGCCAATGCTGGGACAGCCAATGGAAGAGACTGGCTGAGGTCCATTGGTCAAGTCATTGTCTTTAATTTATTGATTAGTGCCTTTCATGGTAGATGCCCTCTCGTGGGTGCCAAGATTGTCGCACTTGGCATCAGCAGGTGGCGAAGTGCTGGATTTCTACATGGCCAACTACGATTCAAGTCCCTGGCCTGGTGACTTGAAAATCATGCTGGGCGTGTGTGTGTGCATGCCAAAAATCCCAGAAGGAGGTTGGGTAAAGGATTGTGGTATGGCCATTCCCCTTTGCGTGTGTGGGGAAGTGATTTCTCACTTTCTCTCTCACTGTTTCTCTATCTCTCTCCAGAGAGTGTACATGCCCTGTAGAAAAAACCTTAAACAACAAAAAAAGATCTTTGCATTACATACTCACTCGTGTGTGTATCCATGTGCCTATAACTCAGATTTCCTTATTTTTGCTCTTGCAGTCTTTCGTTTCTGCCCTTAGGGAGCAAACCACTTGCCTCTGCCTTTGAGTCCACGTATGAACTAAATTTGAGCAACTTATCCCACACTGGTTGAGCATGAGCTACTCTACTACTGTCTTTCCTGGCCACCCCCAAGTGACGGCTGCTATGCCTTTTCATCTTGCAACCACATAATGAACTATATATCCATAAACTGCCAAGGTTGGCCTTTTTGTTGTCCTTCAGTGGGTCATACAGAGTCCTCGTGCAGTCACGGGTATGAAGTGAAGGAGGGGTGTCGTGTAGTCCTGGTGGGTGCTGTGTGGGTCTGGCCACTTCTTCATGCAGCTTGCATATGCCCTCTGGTCCTGCTCACGTATGATCGCAGATGCACAGCTTCTATTTTATGGTGGATTATGGCTGCACCTACTTGACTTTATGATTTGCCATGTCTGGCAGGACTGGCTAAGGCTATAGGTGGATCGTGACATTAGGACCCTGTTGAGGGTTCGCTGTCTTTCATTATCTATCTCTCATGGAACAAATAACCTTTTTTTTGAGAGAGAGAGATTTTTGCTATAGGGTGTGTGCACTCAATGGAGAGACAGAGAGATGAGATACAAAGAGAGAGAAAGTGAGAAATCACCCCTGGGGGTATGGCCATGCCAGAACCCCTTCTCCATTCTCCTCTCAGGAGTTTGAGCATACATGCACATGGGCCTGGCATGAGTTTCAAGCCTCTGGGTCTGAGACTTGAACCATGATCAACCAATTGGAAGTCCAGTGCCTTAACCACTATGCCCCTTGCTGGCCCCAATAAACTTTTTAAGAAGTAATGGGAATCTATTGCAGAAAAATTTGAAAACTAAAATAATATTCCTACACTCTCATCGCTGCAGTGCAATCATAGTTATAACTTCAGTGTATTTGCTTCCAGTCTATTTTGGTGTGAATAGTTGTAATAAAAACATGCACATAAAAATTTCCTTTTTAATTGAGCCTTAGATAATTATGATATGATCATATACATATTTCCATGTTGCAATATTATCACAACAGCAACTTTTTTTAATGCATTGAATTTCATTATCTGGCTCTATTGTATTTTCTGTTAACCTATTTTTGGTTGGCAGATTTCCTCTCACATTTTAGCACATAGAATATTTTTATATAATGTAAAACTTTATGCACATTGCTTTTTTGGTTATTGTTGCTTTTGAAAATAGAATATTAACTAGTGTCAAAAATTTCAGTAAACTTCTAGCTTTTCTTTCAGCTCTGTCATCTAATCTAGCAAATCTAGTGAATATAGCAGTAGGAGGTATACATTAATTTACCAACTGTTCTTCCACCCAAGATTTTAGTTATATATGTCTTAATAAAGCCATATAAACCCGGAGTGAAGCAGTAATTTTACATCCAAAAGAAATGGACCCCAGAACAGCAGTTGTCCAGGACAGTTTAGAAACTTATGATAGAAAGTGGGGATTCTTTATTTGGAGCCCAAAGAAATGCAGTCTACCATTTTTGATATATGTGAATATGTACATTCTTAGGAGTTGTATCTTGGTTTTCATAAGATTTTCAAAAAGATCCAGTGACTACTGCTGTAAACACAGTGTTTACTATTAGAATGGGTGCTATTTTTTGTGAGTTTGTTGTTTCCTCCTTCCTTGCCACCCCTCCACATTCCCCTTCTCCTTATTTATTATGTTCAGTGATAGAACTTAGAAAAAATGTATGTTTGAGGACCAGCTGTATGGCCTAGTGGTTAAGGGAACTTGATTGCATATGGTTGACCACATGGTTCAAATCCTTGCCCCAGCAGCTTAAGAAAAAACATGCTGGATACCTGTGCATGCCGAAATCTTGACAGGTTGGAGAAGAGGAGAAGGGATGGTGGCATGACCATGCCCCATTGAGGGAGTGGTTTCTCCCTTTCCCCCTCCCTCTCTGTTTCTCTGTTTCTCTCTGGTAAACCCATGTATTCTCTGTCTTATAAACAAAAAAAGGAAAAATATGTTTTCAATAATTAGTGATTTATCACATAAATCTATGGTGATTTAAACAAAATTTAAATAGCTGAGCATGTGTAGAATTGTTCATTGAAAATACTGTATCAGTTGATGTTGATTTTGGAAATTTTCTCATTAAAATTTTCTCATTAATTTAGTGCTATTCTTCTTTGTTCAAATATTTTTCGAAAGCATGACCTGGAAGCTTATCATTAAATAAATTCTATTAATTCAAGTTTTGAATTGAATATGGCAATTAGTCATAGAATACAGTTATCCTTTTAGTGTGTTATTTGGAAAAGTGTAGATTTACTAACTCCATTAAAATGTGATGTTCCTAAGGTTTTGTACAGCTAAAGCAAAAAGAAGACATTCTATGCAAATAATCTTAAATAAAATTATTTTTAACAAAATTATTTTTAAATGTTAAAAACTCTCCTTTAAAAGATAAAATCTTAATAATTTTTTATTACCAAATAGCAGAAGCTCTTCTAATGTAACAGATATTGTAATGTGCAATGACCACCTTGTTTTGAAGAAAAATTACTCAGCATTTTATGTTTTTCTTAGGAATGGGCTGCTTCTGGGGAGCTGAAAGGAAATTCTGGACCTTAAAGCATGTATATTCAACTCAAGTTGGCTATGCAGGAGGCTATACTCCAAATCCTACTTATAAAGAAGTCTGCTCAGGTAGGAACAATCGACTCTGCTGTATTACTGCAAGAAGCAATGGGGTAGGTTACAGGATTTTCCCGGTGACAATAATTTCTTTGTGTGTTTTCTTCATCTTCTCTTTACATTTTTGGTAAATATACCTCTGAGACTCTCACTTAATATTTTTAGAGGATAATAAACTTCCTATGAAATGTATCACTTATCTTTTGCTGTGGAACAACCACTATAAAACTTAGTGGCTTTAAACAATCACTTTATGGGAGCCAGCACGTGGCATGGTGGTTATGGCACTAGACTCCCACATGGCTGACTGCCACCACAGGACCTAGTGGCTTTCTCTTCACTTTCCCTCTTTTTTCTGCCTCTCTCTGGTCAAATAAATAATAATAATAATTACAGTGATGAATAAAATTAAATAATTCTTTTAAAAATCATGTTTTTAAATTAATTTTTAGATGATTTTGCTATAGGGCATGTGCACTCACCAGAAAGACAGAGAGACAGAAAGTGAGAAGTCACCCTCCAGGGGAGATGGCCTCGTACAATCTCTTCTCCTGTATTCTTCTCTCAGGATCTTGGGCATGCACGCACACGTGCCTGGTGTGAGTTTAAGCCACTGGATCTGGGACTCAAACCATGGTGAGAGTCCAATGACATAGCCATTACGCCAACTGCTGGTCCCTAAAAATAATTTTATTAGCTTATGATTTTGTCAGTCAGCAATTTTAGCTTGGTGGTTCTTCTGCTCATCTCTTCTGCTCATCTACCTGGACTCACTTAGGCAGTTGCCATCAGTTGGTGGGCTAGGTGGGGCTAGTTGATCCGAGATAGCTTCAGTCATATGTCTGGCAGTTGCTGGCTGCTGATTAGTACTGCGGTCTGCTGAGATCGTAAGGATAATGGACAACGTGTCTTTGGTACATTGGTCTGGGCTAAATCACTTGGTGGTGGCTATAGGAGACCCAGCTGTCAGAGCAGATGAGCCCCATTCTTGGTTTGTGTCATATTTATTATCGTCCCAATGGTCAAAACAAGTCACACGGGGAACCAGCAGTTAGCCTAATGGCTGTGTTGCTGGACTCCCATGCAGTCGACTGCGGTTCACGTCCCGAACCCGGTGGCTTAAAACCCACGCCGGGTGCGTGTGCATGCGTGCCCAAGATCCTGAGAGAATGGAGGAGAAGGGATTACGGTGTGGCCTTCCCCTCTGGGGGGGTGATTTCTCGCTTTCTGTCTCTCTGTCTCTTTCTGTGAGCGCACGTGTCCTGTAGTGAAAAACCTCTCAAAAACAAACAAACAAAAAAAACCAAGTCACATGGTTTTCCCTAGAGTACCTATGGGAAGGGCTCCCCAAAGGCAGGAATATAGGGATGTATGAAGAAATCAGGACAGTTGCTATAACAATCTACCACGTGGGAAAAACACATCATGTGCCAGACATGTGTTCTGGAGGGAAAAGCATGAAGAGCCATGCTATAATGCAGGGATCAGCAAATGATGGCCCAAGCTGCAAATTCTGCTTGCCATCTGTTTATATAAATAAAGTTTTGTTAGAACACAACCATGCATTTTTTCCCCCTGTTTTTGCTGTAGGGTGTGTGTGCTTGCCAGAGAGAGACAGAAAGAGAGAGAAAGTGAGAAGTCACATTCCCTGAGGGATGATGGTCACGCCTCAATCCCTTCTCCTCCATTCTCCTCTTGGGATTTTGGGCATGCACACACACGTGCCTGTTGTGTTTTTCAAGCCACCATGTCCAGGACTTGTATCACTCAGTTGGCCATGCGGGATTCAGCCACCTTAGTCTCCATGCCACCTGCTGACCCACATGCCTATTTTTGAAAAAAAGTACTTTTCTTTTTTTTTTTTGCTATAGGGCGTGTGCGCTTGCCAGACAGACAGAGAGAGACAGAGACAGAAAGCGAGAAATCACCCCCCAAGGGGGGATGGTCATGCCGCAATCCCTTCGCCTCCATTCTCCTCTCGGGATCTTGGGCATGCACGCACACGTGCCTGGCGTGAGTTTTAAGCCACCGGGTCCGGGACGCGAACCGCAGTCGACTACATGGGAGTCCAGCAACATAGCCAATATGCTAACTGCTGGTTCCCTGAAAAAAATCTTATCATCTATGAATACTTTCATGCCATACTGGCAGAGTTGAGTAGTTGTGACAGAGACTATATGGTCTTCAAAGTCTAGAATATTCACCATTTGACGCTGACTTCTACTTAAGGCCAACGGGATAGGCAGATGCCTTTGTGGCAAATTTTGGCTCGAATAGCAGGTGACCTCTTTGGAATTCTTTCAGGCCTTCGAGGCTTACCTTTACTTACTTTCCCACCAGTGCATATAGTTCTTAAAGCACTGTTCTTAGAAAGATGTTTTTCACCATCTTAAGAGAGCATGATAGGGAGTTTATCTAAGTCTACAGTCTTCCATATTGAATCCCATTGAAATGGGGTTTAAATAATATGTAAATAGTTTTATTATTTTTTTTTAATAAAGGCTTGGGCCCAGCCTATGATCTGGTGGTTAAGGCAGCTGGATTCCATATGACTAACTGTATGGTTCAAGTTCCAGACTCCGTAGCTTAAAAAACATGCTGGGTGTGTATGTGTGCATGCCCAAAATCCCAAAAGGAGAATGGAGAAAAAGGGATTGTGGTGTGACCAGGCCTCATAGGGAGTGCTGTTTTGCTTTCTCTCTCTCTTTTCCTCTCTAGTGAGCACATGAACCCTTGGACAGATTTAAAAAACAAGACAAAACAATAACAGAATAAGAGCTTGAATTGGTGTTACTGGTGGAGGAATCTCTCAGTTCTCTGAGGACACCATGAATGGTGGCGGGGAGGCATTGGAATAGGGAAGCTGGTTGAATAATGAGCATGTTGATTGCTGCAATATGAATTCTGATTTTGAAATGCAATTTAAGCTGCACAACAATGAAAATATTGTAAAAATATGCATATACTTATTTTCTTGCTTTTAGAGAAGAATCAAATTATTCAGATGGTATTGAGAATGTGGAATATCTGACAAATATTTTAATCGTTAATTTTTTTTGCTTCTATTTCAAAATTTCACAAATGCTTATGCAGAGCTATAAATAGATTCAGATGAACTCAGGAGATTGCCCAGGTGTATCCTCTCAAGTCTTAGGAATGAAAATTAATAGATTCCTTCCTGTAATTCTAGACATGACTTAATAGCCTAAGAGAAAAAGGTTGCTAAGAAAACCTCCAAATATCTCCTGCTTACATTATTATCCTCAGCCAGCAAAATGTTAACAATTTATTAGAATATTGTAATTGCGTGTTTTGCTTAGACTCTTTCTAGTTCAGCTCTTTACCTTAACAATTGCAACATGATAATTACCATATGTTGAACCCCTACTATGTGCCAGATATTGTAATATTGTAATACCTGGCACATAGATATTGATATCTTTGTTTTTTACCAAACGGTCCTATGAGGTATCTCAGTTTCTGTCTTTTACAGAGAGTGATGAGCCTCAGAAAGGATAAGTAACTCACCCAAGGTCATACATAGCAGGATTCCCTCCCTAATTAGCTCTCAGCTCAAAGTTGGTGCCATTGACCATGGTGTAAGTCACCCAATTATCATTACATCCCAGGTATTCTCCATTTTATCTGTTCTCCCTTCCCTCCACTAAGTGGTAAGTTCTCTTTCAAGTCTATTTTTCTGCTGTACTTTTTAATATATTGGTATGTGTTGCAATGATTTTTATAAGGAAAGTAGCAAGTATATATATATATATATAGGTCTTTCTGATGTTTAGAAGGAAAAAGGACAAAACCCTTTTAAGATATAGTTCATGCAAACAGCTGGTGTGTTAGAAGCCCACAGCAATGGTAAAGTACAGAAACCACAGAGGTTGGTAAAGAACTCTATTTGATACAAACACTACCTGCTAAGTTAACGCTAGTGTGGGGAAGCATTGTTGTCATGGAAACTTGCTCCTGATTGGAAAGAGATAGTTATAGGGTCTTACCCAGACACAGAAGGAGAGATGATTTCTTTCCCTAGGCTTTTTTTGTTCTGATCATAAAAGGAAAAAAACAAAAAGGCAGAGAGAAGCTGTGATAGAAAGATCCCTCTGGCACAGAAGTGGTAGAGCCCTCAGATCCTTGGGAATAGCAGGGAATGAGAACAAATAAGGTCCCTAGCTAGAGTAATTATGGTAACCAGCTAATTAAAGATTTTTGACTGGGGAAGGGGTGAGGGAGGCAGAGAGCAGGTTAGACTGGCAGGCCTCCCTCTGAAGCCTCTGTTGCTCAGAGGCATGCTGAACAAGTCAGCCCTGGAGGGGTCTGACTTGAAAGAAAAAAAAATAATAAAAACCAAAAAACTAAGACTCTGGTAAGTTGCATAATAATTGCTGAGGTTCAGTATGAGAGAAATATAGCCTATAGTATTTGCATAAATTTTAAAATTGCTTATCCTCATATTTGTAATGAAAACTTATAAAAGTTTGATGGCAACCAATTTTGTAAAGGTGTGTGTGCATGTGTGTGTGTGTGTGTGTGTGTGTGTGTGTGTGTGTATGCATTTATTATTGCCAGAGGACAGGTGTGCTGGCCAGAGAGAAACAGAGAGAGGGAAAAGCACCCTCGAATGGGCAGTAGTCACACCACAATCCCTTCTCTCCTGTTGGGATCTGGGACATGCACACATATGTGCCTGGCATGTTTTCCAAGCCACTGGGGCCAGGATTTCAACCATAGTTGGCTATATGGATCTGGCTTCCTTACCCACTATGGAGCTGGTCTGGTTTTTATTTATTTATTATATTTTACTCAAGAAAAGAAGCCTACGGACTTGGGTTGTGAATTGTGTGCAGATTCCTTCTCTCATATAGCAATGTGCTTGATCCTAAGGTACCATTTGGCTTCTTGGGGCATATATCAGGATTCTAGGGAGGTTACCAAAATCCACAGGGCTGGAACCAGGAGGTGGCATGGTTAGTGAGGCACTGGACTCTCACACGGCCAGCCAC